CCTACTCCAACAAAGCCACACCTACTCCAACAAAGCCACACCTACTCCAACAAGGCCACAGGACCTGATAGTGCCACCCCCTGTGAGCCTATGGGAGCCATTTTCTTTCAAACCACCACAATGACGCTCCACATCTTTGTCTCTTTCTTCTATGTATCTATCCCTCCTCCTCCTCCTGTGAAGGTTCCGCCTTCTTGGATGTGAGGGTGTTGCTGTCACAAGCCACCTTTAGACCTATGTTCTTTGGGACTGTCTTACTTCCACGCCTAAAGAGTAAGCAGCCTGGCTGAGCCTGGGTGAGCGTCTGGGTCCCTAGCACACATGTGACCAAGTTCTCGGGAACAGTTGCTGGGTGATGTGCCCACTGAGACGCTGCATTCCTGTCCAGAGCCACACCCATGGAATCTCATGGAAAACTGCCCCAATATCCGGACAGACTGACTAGTCTCCTGCATCCCCTGCACCCTCTACCTGCTGGCTAGGTGAGAAAGAACCAGGGGCTGAAGGCACTGGCTCAGGGCTTCCAGCCCAGGCAGGAGGCTGGAAGTGGTTTCTCTTGTCTCCCCCTGAGCAGCGGGCCTGACTCATCTGGTTGGAGTCCCGCAGACTGACCGGGGATCACTTACAATCTCATTCTGCCGCAGTGTAAGAATTCCTCTCCTGACATGGCAAGGAATGTGGGTGACGTCACAGACAGACTCAGACACTCCAAGAGGAAGTTATTTTTTTACCACGGGAGAGAGAAAAAAAAAAAATCAGAAAGTGTTGACTTATGGGGAAGCCGAGGCAGGGGCTGAGTGGGAGGGAGGGGACTGGGCAGCTGGGGCTTGGCTACCTGGCCTTGTTGCCTTGCCAGACTGGCCTGGTTTGTGGTGAGGCCACTCTGCAGAATCTCTCCCCAAGGGCAAATGATGTTGGCATGGCCTCTGAGTGTACAGCCAATTTAAGCAGCGTGGGGGTAACGTGGGTGTTTCCTGGAAGTGTGCGGTGGGCTCTCTAGACAGCCCACGGAGGCAGCTCTCCGACATAAGATGTGGGGAAAGATGGAGAGAAGACGCCAGCAAGCTACACGAATACAAACTCCTAGTGACAGTTTCCGCGCCTCAGTCAAGCAGATGGCAGGAGGGAGGCCATCTTGCTCATGCTCTTTCTGGTTCCAAAAGCTGTTCGTTTGCCTGCTGAGCAGAGTTGGAAGACCTTCAGTGTGCGGGTATGTTCTTTTAGTTGCTCTGAGGAGGAAGTGGCTCCCCAGAGAGCAGAGAGGAGAAGGAAATCTAGGTAAGCACCCTGCGGACCCTACCTTTTGTTTCCACAGGCAAAGCCTGGCTTAGAGCGACCACGGAGCGATCATATTGCAAGTCTCGTGCCTTTGAAGCGTGGCGGTGACTCATTCCAGTGCATTTTAGTGAATGTTTTATGCAGGTGTGCGATTTCTACATCTGCACATGTAGGTATGTTGATGTGTTTGCTCCAGGGTTCGGGTGCACATGTGTATGGATACCACAGGTCAGCCCACAGGTGTCATTTCTCAGGAGCAACCCATAGTGTTTTTTTTAGGTAGGGTCTCTCATTGTGATGTGGGGTTCACTGACTTGACTAGGCTGGCTGGCCATCAACCCCCAACGATCCCTCTATCTCTCCAATGGTGGGGCGGCGTTCACATGACTGGCTTTTTAAAAATGTGTAAGGAGTCCAAGCACTCATGCTTTCACAGCATGCATATACTGAGCTATCTCCTTAGCCCTACACAGGTGTCCTCATGTCCTGCTCCCATGACCTCTGGCTGGGGAAAGGTGTGTCTTGACCTGTAGGTAGATGGTGCTGTGTTTCCAGCTGCTTTTCTGGCCTAGAGTATCTTGTGCACAGGTTAGCGGAGCTCCGTAGGCTGGTAGGGAGACCTACTAGAACATGCTTTGGTTGCCAGGTGGGTTCCTGTCTTTGTGTCTTTGTGCTTCATCTGTCTTATAGCGTCATGTGCTGCTGTGCCAACGTGGGCCACGCCCACCCTGGATTGTTTCCCTTTGGGCCCCCTTTGTGGAGTGGTAGGTGATTTTGTTGTTGTTAATTTCAGGCTGAACCTTGCTCAGGAGGCTTAGGTTCCGTTGGAGTCTCACATCAATGAGACTTAAGGGATTGGACATGTGTTTTGCTATGGCTTTCAGATGCTCTTGCTTAGTTGGCTTGGCGGTTTTCCTCTTTCATCCGTCAACTCTCCCATTCATGTAGGTTCAGTTCTTCAATAACTGTTCAGCAAGCACCAGTTGTGTGCTGGCTGTTAGAGCTAGAGCAACTAACAACACTGTGTGCGTGCGTGCGCATGCGCACTCTGTACTCGGGGTGTGTGTGTGGGGGACAGAGAAGGATGTGCGGTATGGGACTGAGTGAGGGTTAGAAGCAAGGGCCTGTTGTGTCTGGCAGCAGTTAACACTGATGCTATCTTTGGTTAAGGCTGGGGTTATGCTTGGAGGCCAGGGTTCTCAAGGGTAGCTGCTTAGATAATCGGGAGAGCTTTGGAAATGATCTTCCTTTGGACAGGGGTGGAGCTGGGCATCTCTAGTAGGAGATACAGGGTCAGAGAGCTGGGAGTATGAATCGGTTCCTTCACCGTATTCCATTTAGGATTGCTTCAGTTCTGTCTATAATCTCTTGAGTGGGCCCCGTCACATTTTAGCTGACAGCTTCTTATATCAGTGTTGCCTGAATTTTACCATACATGCAAGTTAGCTGAGAGTTTGTTAATGTCTAGGTTTTGATGGAGCAGGTCTCGGGTGGGTCCTGAGGTTCTCTATTTCCAGCAGGCTCTGAAGTGTGAATGGGAAGACCACACTCCAAGGAGCAACAGTCTATACTGTCAAATATGTGGGGGAGGCCAGAGATCAACCTCAGATTTCTTCCCTGGTTTTAAGAGAGGGTATCTCACTGCACCTGGAGGTCATTGATTCAGTGAGATTGAATGGTTAGTAAGCCCCAGAGCTTTTTTTTTTTTTTTTAAATACAAATGGTCACATTGATATACACTTGTATGTTTTATCAGCAGGTTATAACCTGCTTTACCCATACCCTTATAAACAGTAGATCTAATTTTTTTAAAGTTTTTTTTTTTTTTTTTTTTTTAAGATTTTTTTATTTATTATGTATACAGCATATATGACTGCAGGCCAGAAGAGGGCACCAGATCTCATTACAGGTGGTTGTGAGCCACCATGTGGTTGCTGGGAATTGAACTCAGGACCTCTGGAAGAGCAGTCAGTGCTCTTAACCTCTGAGCCATCTCTCCAGCCCAGTAGATCTAATTTTTAAAAGATGTTCTTCCCACTCATGAATAATACATAACAGTAGGGTTCATGATGTCATTTTCATACACAAATATCACATTTATATATATTGTTTGTTTTTGTTTTTTCAAAACACAGACAGGGTTTCTCTGTGTAGCTTCAGCGCCTTTCCTGAAACTCACTCTGTAGCCCAGGCTGGCCTCGAACTCACAGAGATCCACCTGCCTCTGCCTCCTGAGTGCTGGGATTAAAGGCATGCACCACCACTGCCCAGCCCATATCATATATTTTTATTATATTCACACATCATTATTTTCTCTTGTCTCTTTTCACTCCCACTTTTCAAGAGGTCCTAGTAATTTTTTGGGGGGTGGGTGGGTGGTGACCTAATAAATTTAATTAGGCTTGTTTACAGGACCATGGGTTAGGGATATAGGAATGTAGGCAACTTAACCACTGGTTACATCACTCATGAAAATGTTTCTCTCTCCTAGCAACTATTACCACCTATCAGATCGTCAGGGAGGGA